TATAATACTACGTGTGAAACTGGGTATGGCACCCTACAGACTGTTTCATGCTAACGGAATCATGCTAACAAGGCTAAAAATTATTATTGAAGAAAATTTATTTTAATTTGATACTCTAGATTTTGCAAGGGTTACCCAATAAAGCATGCATAATATCTAGTAAAAGTGTTGTAAAGTTAATAGTAAATGCGTTAGAACCACTGTTACGAAAAAAAAAACTTTTTTGTTTCAAATTTTTCTCTATTATAGTTCCAGGTATCCTTCCTCAATCTAGAATTCTGAGAGTAAATCCTGCTACAGCGAAATTGGGTGAAGATGCATTGATAACGTACACATTCACACCTGAACCAGGGGATGATTTTGATTACTTGGTTTGGTTTGAAAGTGATGCAGATGGTGTTATACAAGGGGTTGCCGGTAATATTATAAACAATATCCCCGGAAACCCACCACCCAATCCTAGATACAACTTAAGTGATAATGGAAGCCTTATTATATATAATGTTGAAGTAGAGGATACAGGTTACTATCTGCTTAGAGTAATTTTAGCTATCAGTGACCAGGAACCCTGGGTAGACGTGTTCTCAACATTAACAGTCTTCTGTGAGTACCGAATTTCATGTTGTGCGTTTTTGTACAATATCGTTCTACTTTATGACACCTTAAAAGAAATTCTATAAGCTGGTATTATTTTCTTTTAATAATATTTTTTTATAAACAATTTAAACTGTCAAACAGATATTGAAACACCACTGTTGGAACCACAAGAAAAAACTGTCAATGAAAATGAATCTGCAATATTCTTATGCCCTTTGCCCGATGGTGTTCCAACGCCTATCACAATCACGTGGATTAAAGATGGCGGCGCACTTAATGTATCTGATACTGAGAAGTATCCACAGTTAGATACAACATTAGAGATCATCAGAGTCAATGAAATGGATGAAGGGGACTACCAATGTCGAGCAGAGAATGAAGCTTACAGTGGTGATGAAGGAAAGTTGAGTAATACAGGGACACTGTCAGTGTTTCATCGTAAGTATATCAGTCATTATTTACTTGTTTACTGGTATATAAATAACTTATGGTATATATTGTTATTGTTTATGGTGTATAAATAACTTAAAAATTACGAAAAAATATCAAATTGAGTTTAAGACATTCAAAGAATTCTTTTGATAGCATTTACATCGTTTTCACCAAATATTGTTAAATATGAAATTCGGGTTTTCATTTAAAATGTTTATTATATTACTTCAGTCACATGCTCGTTTATTCGTTCATTTTAAAATTCACGACGTCGCTATGAGATATGTTCTGTACACCGTTTCAAAGTTTTGTTTGTGTAGCTCACCAACATAAATGTAAGATATCCACAAGGAGTAATTTATTTATTTATTTGATTTACAAGTGTGTATTTATTCCAAAGTAGATATACCGTATGTGAACAGAAAATTTTGAGACCAACACGAACATTGGCGAGAGAAGCATATTATTAAATTAGCCTCTACGTTTACTTCTTTATTAGAACCTAAGCCAACTACACATCATTCTCAAAAAATTGAACCAGGTTCAGACACTGATCTTCTTGTTGGAATCACGTTTCTGGGTATCGTCATCGGAATCGTGTTGTCATCATCTGTATTTGTTTTCCTTTGGTGGAAAACTAGAACCTCATCTTCAAATGTAAGTAATGCAAAATCATTATTATACTGATTAGCACAAAGGTAATAATATAAAGATACACAACATTATTATTAAAGGAACACAAAATTGCTAAGAAATGTTGTTATTATTAAGATTATAAAGATGCCTATCAGAATAGAAATTGTCGATTTTAATATTATATTATTATATTACCTTAATGATCTTCCTAGATGGAATTAGTAGCAAAAAATTTTGTAGGCCTAATAGTAATAGTGGCAAAGACTAATATATAATTATAATATCATTTTATCAATTTACCTTAAAGTCAACAGAAGAAATGCAAATTGGGAAGCGAAGGGCTCACCTTCCGCACTATTATGGAAGTTCAATTAAGAATTAAAGTATAATATTGAAGTTTATTACTAGTAATTTTTCTCCTATTATCATAGAAGTACACGACGTATAATACTAAACAGAAAACAGATATCCAGACGTACGAAGATTTAAGGAGAAATGAAGACACCCCAAGTGTTTATGAAGATTTAAGTACCGAAGGATACACCCCATCTGTTTATATGAATGTAAAAACAAAAAGATAGAGAATGTAAAGTTTGAAAATTCCATTTTAACAAGAGAGAACGAGGCTAGCAGATACAATACCATTGTATGGGTTTAGAAAATAATAAATTTTGTGGAGTTTGGACATTAAAAACATTAATATTTAGGAAAATAATTTAGGAAAACTTATTTGCAATGTTTTTAATTGTGTATTATATTTTGAACTTTGCTTTGTTTTTATTTTAAATGTATTGCTGCCGTTGTTTCTGTGTTTCCTCGTGTTGTTTTTATTGATTGGTTAGTGTATTGTTAAACTTCAATTTCAATTTGTTTTCAAAATTGCAATAAAGAATAAAGAATTTAAAGAATTAAAAAACAAGTATTTTTAGAAAATTGCTTTCCTCTTTGGACAACAATATGTTGAGAATAGGGGTGGTTTGAAAATGGAGGTGGTGTCGCCAACGTTTGGAGTAGATAGGTGGTTTAAAAGAAGCAACATACACGTACACAGTTTCTCAGCCCTGTAGCTAGACTTGTTGATCAGGGTGGATGGGGCAGAGGCAGTAACATTTTCATAGGGGTTAACTACACACCCAACTCAGTCTCATCACCACGACCACAAGCTGAACTTGAAAATGAAACTCTTGGACTTAATATGACAGTTTTGCTGATTGTTCAATTTTAAATATATCAAATAAAAATGAACGGCGAATCCCAGGAAAGTCTACAAACACACCTCAGCCCCTATCAAAAATTTAATGATGTAACCAAATTATATGCCCAGAAATTGCATTTTCAGACTTAAAATATTTATTCTAAACTAAATCTTAATTTGACATTATGTTGGTCAGTTTTTAATAAATCAGATTACCAAACGTATCAACATCCACCTCAGCCATGGTGAGGGGTGAGGCCAAATGAAAATTTAAAAAATGGAGCAGTTCTTTGCAGGCCCGTAGGTGGACCTGCAGGCCGAGTCCGACAAAGTAGCATTGAGGCCGTATTTAATGGATTCCTGAAACCCATAATTCGTGAATATTCTATTTAAATTTTCATTCATTTTTTGTTGTTGTTAGTAAGCCCTAGTATTCAAACTATCGGTCGCGTCGTCCCAAGTTAATCGTAGTCGCCAAGATATTTTGAAGGTTTCCGGACGTTGTCGGTAACGGGTGTTGTCATGTTTTACTTACTTTGTGCAAATGTAATTGTGTATCATTTCCTCAATTGGGTTATTTTCAAAAACTATGTTTTTCTATTAAAAAAAATTGACATTGATTCTTATGTTAGCTTGTTTGTTTCACATGCAGGACCTCCACGATTAGCCTATGCTCGGGGTCCCTAGAACAACTCCCTGGTGTGACTAATCCTGTAGGAGTATTTTCAAGCCAAAAAAGAAGTTAAAGGCATAATTGTAATAAAGACAGTTAAATATCAGTCATACAATGGAGGAATTAGTCATGTTCATACAACGTTTGTTAACATAATAGTTTGGCACACAGTCGGTATTTTCTGTGTAATTTTACCTATCCTATATCTACCAAAGCATTGTTTAAAGCCTAAAACACTTCGCCTGTAAAACCTCGGGTCCCTTATAATAAAAAGAAGTCTATAATAGATTTTTCATTTTAAATCTGCTATGTCATATGCTGAACTAAGACTACCAATCTTTTGGCGTTTGTCGATTTGTGGGTAACTAATTTAATTCTAGATCTGGGTGTCACCCCTATTTACATTGGCCCAATGTTGTGCTTTGGCCTTCACTTGAAAAAAAAATCATCTAATGATTATTAATTTTGAATTTATTAAACATATTTTTTCATATAATAATTTTATTTTTTCTCACGGGCCAGAATAATTTGTTTTGCGGGCCAAATTTGGCACGTGTGCCTCCTATTAAGAACCAGGTACAGGTATCGGAAGAAGAGCAACGACAGGAATGGTATTTGAATTTCAAATCAAACAGCGCTGGAAATTGGAAGTGGAAAAGAACTGAAAAACAATACTGGAAAACTGTGAAGATATCTAATTGATAAGCGTATAATATTGTATTAATTGACAAGTAAAAAGTTTTCCAGGTCTGTATATCCAGTGGGTGGGTTGGTACGATTGGTGCGTACGCACCCACCCCACTAAATTAAATTTCATGACAATCGAGAATGTCTGAATATAGAATTTGTGATTTTCTGTGATTTAAAAAATCTTGAATATTTACATTTTAACTACTAGGCCTAAATACATTCTTTTGGCCAGTATTAGAGATTGTTTATAGGCCTATTGTAAAACCATCGGAGCCCTTCAATACTTAAATTAAGATCCAACAGGCCGGCACTGAATACGAAATGTTTTTTTATTCTCTCTCTCTCTCGTCTGGAGAGTATTCCTCGTTATGCATGTACAGCCCTTCAAATTCCATTTACTGTATCTCTCACTAGATAGGCCTACCAGTCTTCCTCATCATCATTATCATAGAAAAGTAGGGAAGACCAGCGAAGGAGTTAAGGGCAGTCCAGCTGCCCCCCCCCAACCCCACTGTGAAAGTCTATTTTAAATTCCTGTATCCGCCACTGAATTCGGAGTGTATTCATCCATTAGACGTCTCAGAAAGCAGGTTAAGTGCATTATCAAGCATTTAGAAAAACTTTCCGAAGAAGGACCCCAAGAACACTCCCCTCGTCTCACGGCTATAATTTCTCTTCCAGAGGCATAACAACCACTTGAGATTGCTTTTCGCTTGATCCCGCCCACCTGGGACGCCATAGTCAGCGCAAACTTTGGATCCGCGCTCTTTTTTCATAGAACTAGGCCTATAATAAGGAACTTTCGTTGATGAATATGTTTGGTACGATTTATGATATCATCTTCCTATATATTTTCGAGCACTGTAGGCTATTATTATACAGTATATTTCATTTTTACATTATTTGCGTTTCCAGTGCTAAGCAGCAACTTGACTTGAATATTATTTCCTTGATTTACCGGCTGCTATACCTACAATACAAGCTATTAAAGTACGTAGCTTAAACATTTGCTTTACTGTGCATTGTGTGAGCCCTAAAGTTGTATGAAGGTAGAGAGACTAGTGGTCTTAGATCTGTAATGATAGGCGTAGATCGTCCCCCAAATATTTTAAGGGCGTTGTTCCCCCACTTTTCGGCGGCAATGTGCTTTCATAAGTCAAAAAGATTCTGAAATTGTTGAAATGAAGGTTTTATACTAACAAGATACTGGTATCTCTGCCCGCAATTATCAAAAATAACCTACTGTTACGTATACACGACTTGAATGCGCGTGCCTTTATTATAATTTGCTAAGTATAAGAAAAAAAGCGTGTAAAGATAAGATTGGTTTTCGTTACATGAAGTAGGTAAAGTAAAGTAAATATTGTACACTAAAGACAATTAAGTTTCATTTTCTATGGTGCATCTCAGGGATTAATAGATCTCTATGATTGCCGAAAGCCGAAAATTCCTAATAAAAGATCATTAGAAATTGTTTAGCACTTTATTTTGACTATAATAATGATGTGATGGTGATGAATTTTACTATGAGAGTGTCTTGCCGGCCAGCTAGAGGTACTATTTACCCCAAATTTCGCACCTCAGCCACAACCACGGTGGGGCTGAGATGGGTGTGGACTCACGGCTATAAGTAGGTAAGTAAATTCAAAGACAGTGTTATAAGGTTTTATTTTCAATGGTACATCACACAGATTATTCAGATCTTTATGATAAAAGATCATGAGAAATTTGCTAGCACTTTATTTTGACTATAATGGTGATGTGATGATGATGAATTTTTCTATAGAGAGAGTGCGGGTTCGATTCCCACCAGAGACCTCTTTTTCATATAATAAGGAATTTCGTTGAACTATGTTGATACGATTTATAACATCATGTTCCTTATATTTGAATATTTGAGCACTGGATTATCATCTATTTTATTTATACAATATTTGTATTCCCAGTGCTAAGCAACAACTTGAACATGACCATGGGATTGGAGCGAGGCCTTTTTCGAAATGGGCTTGTTTTCGAGATTACTCTAGTAACTGAAAAGATTGGGGGAGGGGGGAAAATTTTGAAATTGCTACTATATGACATCAGGGGTGGCCCCAGTATTTGCCCGACGGAGGGTCCAATGT